CGTCAGTCATTCGATTAATCGATCAGCCTCGGTGTTTCAAGTGGGTATTCGAAAATACAACTTGCTTCGCTGCAAATGTCTACGCACAGTTCCGCGTTCCAGTCGACAAAATCTTAACTCAACAGATCATTTGCTTGGCTTATCAACCAGAACGCGGGTTATTTAACAACTCGTTCAGATCCTAGTGTACTGAAGACAAGTGCAACTAAATTTTGAACTAATAAAAAGGAAAGGAAACGGGATCTGTATTTTAACACAGCAATCTGACCTTACCATGTCGTACGTATAGGCCTATATATGCATACACCATGTCGTACCAAGGCTGAAGTGTCGCTGACCGAGTATCATCATAGCTCACTGTTATGCTTCATTAGCCCGATCACAGCAGGACGTTAAACCCCATTTCATTTCACTTTTTTTATTTTCTTATTTCAGAGGCTACTCAGGTGTTGGCTAGATTATCCAGTGGGAATTCAACTCAAGGGATATAACTCTTCTTTTCCCACTCTAAAAGTGTGAAGATATAATTTCTCGTTAGTCGAGAGCCAGAATAAACAACCATTAATTTAAAAATATATTAAAACTTTCGAGAAAATAGATTTATGGCTAAAACATAATATCTTACAAGATTTGAATCAGAAACAACTCTATTCCATTTCAAATGTAAAAATACCGCCATTAATTAGAGTTGCCTGTATAGTGATCACTTGGTGAATGGCGAAGTGTAAAACGTGTAATTACAGATGAATATTATAACATGTGCCAAAGGCAAAGTGGACCTTTACGTTGCATCTGGAATATGCAGAATAATTGTGAACTTGCGATGTGAAGAATGGTCCACATCTTCAATAGAAGGCTCAACCTCGCTTTAACTCTGTACATCTTATGAAGCCTAGCATATGTCGCGTAATACCTTGCATATTTCGTCACTAATTTCGATTGGTTACTTACCTAGCTGGGGGCCTCTCAGATTCCTCGATAGACATTATCATTGTGAATACCAAGTCTCATGCTTTCCAGCTAAAATGTCTACCTGTGATAATCGAGTTGCAAAGTTCAAGGTTCGTTCAATGTCAAGGTGTTCATGGAGGTCGCCATGTTTGATTTGAGTGTGTTTGTGTAACGACCTTTGATTGCACAACTCCTTTTTTCACGTGTCTGCGCTAAAGGGAGATAAAGTACCTATAATTTAAGTTCAGCAATTTCAGACTAATGTAGCGGTCGTTGCTTCAGAACATAAGTAAGGCACTGGCTCGCTAACCAGTAGGTTGGAAAAGAACGTTCCTTGTCAGTGGGACAGCGCGGCGCCCCCACCCCACCCCCGTACACATTTTCGTGCGTCTAAAAGACCTTGACATTTCGAATTCTAAATAAGAGTAGGCCGCAATGCCTCTGTCCAGGCAAAATTTTCCCCACAGAACACTGCATGGCGTATGTTCGTCTTCATTAGCCCAATCGGTGCAGAACAATAGGACGTTAAATCCCATTTATTTCATATGTCTGTCTTGGTTTACCCAGTCACTGCAGAAAATTAGGACGTTAAACTCCATTTCATTTCATTTCCACTTAGTTCACTACGTAAACATTATACGCGAACAACCAGACATATGGTTACCATATACAATGAATGGACGAGTCGAAGAACGCAGACTGAAACACCCGAGACTAATTTTCCTGTTCAGTAAATATGTGTTGTAGTGGATTTGGTATTACGTTGTGTCGAAATGCTTTGACTGACTATATAGGACTTCCTCTTAGTCTTACACTTTACGGAATAATATTAACAATTTTCTCGTACCAAAACGTCTTGACTGGCTATATAGGACTGTCTCTCCCTCTTCACGAAATAATAACAACATTCTTGTAACGAACTGTCTTGACTGACTATATGGGACTTGTGTCGAGTGTCTGTTAAAGTTGCAATTTCATATTTTTAAAATTTATTAAAATAAAGCCTTAAAATAGATGGTATCTATAAACAGTCCTTCCTTGTTAAAGAATAATCCTATTAATCATATAATTCACTATTGCCAGTTGAGAAATTGGCAAAAATATCATTTTCAACTTCAAATGCAAACGTTTGAAGAAAGCTACTCCATGGTGGAGAATAGAAAACAAGGGAGGTAACTGCGAGGTAATTGTGTTATTATTTCCGGTTTAAATGAGTTTTAAGTGTGAGAATGAAACCTATGATCGTATAATAGTGAGTTGACAATCTATTGAGCGAAAGACATAGAAATAATTATGTAATTATGTAACTTTAAACCTATCCCCCGGATTTCCGTCAACTGCTAAAGACCCTAACGCGCAAGCTGGTTAATGAAATAAAATTAAACCTTATATTATTAGTTCCGGAATGAGCTAGTCTCTTGCAATAACGTTTTGAAACAGATCGGGATTTATGGTTGTATAAACTTTCTCGCCCAACACCGGAATCGAACACAGGACCCCATGTTACCGAGCTAACGCCTTACTCACTGAGCCACCGTGTCTACCCGACCATAATCTTAACGGTTTGTGTGTTTAATGCAGTCGTTTTGTAATATTATCACATTCATTTTTGACAAATTGCCATTAAAATGTTCTTAATAATGTTTTATTTGATAATTTTATGGTTTCATGAACTGTTGTAGTTTTTCTGTATATATATTGATCTCATAATTCTTGTATAAGCTTGATAACGTTGTGAGAATACTCTTCGAAACGTCGCCCAAATAAATTAAGTAGCTGTTTTTCCATAAGTATATGTTTTTGTGTATTGACGTTAAATCCATACGGGTATTTACAAAATGTCCACCCTATAGTTCTGCTGCAACTAGGCAAATAAACACGGTATTTCATCCGCGCAATAATTTTATAATTTATATCAGTTATAACGACGTTAAATCCGGACGGTATTTACAAAATGTCCATCCTATAGTTCTGCTCCGACTGGGCTAATAAACACAGCCTTACAGTTCATCCGCGCAATAGTTTATATTCCAAAGGAGCATGGACCCGATAGAGGCTACCAGGTTTCTTTTAAATATTTGACGTGACGTATTGGGGTCATGAGAATACGAACCTTATCGAAATTCAGTGTTCCACAGCCTTCCGTTCAAGAATCCCTGTCCCCCTTTGTGACAACCTTATGAACACGAAGGTGTCAAATTTAAGTCTGTTGACGAACCCTGTTGATATTTACCATGACGCAACCATGAAATGTTCAATCGGTTATGTTCGGTGAATAACGTAATGGTATTGGTTATTCGAAGCAGGTTCTTCACGACAACACTGATTTAACTTTATATGATACTTTTATTTTTCATCCAAACATATAATGTACAAGACTCCTTAGTTAATGGCTATTTTAGTTGGCTTGTCTTGAGTGAGCATTGGTGCCAAGTTAAGGCGCTCCAACTTACACGGCCGTGTTTCTAGTTCTAGTTCTAACTCTGAGTCCTGTTTCACGAAATTTTAACTAAAGATAAAATCCAAATTTTAGTAGATACTTTAATTTTGATTGGCTAAGCACTGAAATCAATCTAATATTATCCAATCAAATTACTAAAATTTGGATTTTATCTTAGTTAAAATTTCGTGAAACAGGCCCCTGGTCTTAACTAATTTTCTATGTGTACTCTAGAACTCGGTTTTTCATCCCATCCTAACGACTATACGCTGTCCCTTGCCATATCCTCTGTCCTAAACCACTGGTAAGGGGAAGCCACGCCTGGAAATCCTAAATGACCCTTCTCGGCCAATGCAGGGTCCTCGAGATTAGCGAGCCAACGTCTTACTGAGCTACCGTGGCTCCAGGTTGAAGTGAACCAATATTGAATTTTTGATCGTGTTTTCAATGTAGAAAATTACAGGCCCGTAGCTAGCACAAAAATGTTTGGGGGGGGGGGGGGGCAGGGCTTCTGGGGGGGGGGGGGGGCGCCGATGTACCTACACTAGACGGTCCAAGGGGAACTACAGCGTGGACGCGCCTCTAGGATCTCGGGTGCTCTCCCTCCGGAAAATTTTGGAAAATAGGGCTTGTACCTGAAGAGAGTAACTATGAAAATGATGGAAAATTTCAATTTTGAGGCTGAATTTACGATAATGGCGTATTATGATATTTTGATATGAACATCATCAAAATTTGGAGGGAGGCATACGAATTCATTAGTGGGCGCCTGGTCGCCACGCAAATTATATCATGAGCGCCCATGATCTCGCTGTGGGTGGCCCACCAATCTCAGTATTATGGACCCCCCTCCGGGATGAGGCACCCCAACAATCATGCCGTTTTAGGCGCCCCACTGAACAAGTCGTGTGAGCCCAACCAATCCCAATCGGCATTATGCATTATGTGAGGTCCGACAATCATATATCGTCATTATAGACCCCCCCCCCCCCTCCGGGATAAAGCACCCACACATCACGCCATTTTGGGTGCCCAATCAAGCAAGTTGTGGTGTTCATCATGTGATTCATTGTGAGACGCCTGAAATATATAACATGTTTGGCGAGGCGCCCATAAAACCCGAGTGACAGTGGTTGATATCGATACGTTGGTCGTTGGCATTGCGTCCAATGGAAAGGGTGCCTTCGACCCCCCCCCCCCCGCTAGCTATGGGCCAGAATGTTACAATAAATATTGAGCCCTATGATGTGAATGTCCATCGAGCCATCCATGGGATTCAATGGTTAAAGTCTCATATTACATTATTATATGCGTTGTGACCCATTTGTGTCAATTTCTAGGTCCCAAATATTAGCGATTTAGCCCTTTTATAGTTAATGTCCATAATACATGCTTACGCAATGTCTATAAATAGACTGGGTTTCCATGCTTACACAATGTCTATAAATAGACTGGGTTTCCCAGGCACATACATTGTGAAGTGTTGAATGAGATTGTCACAACATTTATTTATTCTATTTTATATACGTGAAGGATATATGAGACTATAAATACCTTATATATATATATATATATATATGTTTTTTCCAATACGTCCACATTGTGCAAGAGATGGATAGTGAACAAGCTAAACAGAAAAGCGATTGTTCATACAATTAGGGACCATAATCCAGTTACTGTAGTTAATCCTGGAACAGCAGCAGATAAGAAAGTTGTTTTTATTACTAAATAATAACAAGCATGTCTAACGCAGTAAGTACAACTACGTCATATTTTTTTAAACAAGCGGTCGCCATGCAAGATACGTCCACATTTTGCAAGAGATGGATAGTGAACAAGCTAAACAGAAAAGCGATTGTTCATACAATTAGGGACCATAATCCAGGAAGCGTGGGTCAGATATACGCGAATATCGAAAGAAACTGATATCCTTGGGATATAGAAATATATTTTAAGTTTCATCAAAAGCGGATAAAAATTGTGACCTCTTGGGTGTCCACAAGCTAAAACGTGATTTTTCATACAATCAGGCGCCATAATCCATGAAATCACGTTCCGATAATGACAATTTCGAAAGTAAACGAGATCTTTGGGAGATAGACCTATATTTCAAGTTTCGTAAAAATCGGATAAACATTGTGACCTGTAGGGTGTCCACGATATCCGGACGGACAGGGGGACGACAATATACTTCTGTGGGTAGAGGCGTAGCAGTGAAATATATATTGGGGGTTTCGGCAAATAAAATGTTGACAATCTGTGACGCCGGAGGCACGGGGCTGCACAGCAGCCGATTTAGCGCCATAGGGAGGGTGTGAGAGGGTCACCCTACCACGGGGACGGGCACCTCCATAAAAAATTTAAAGTTTCAGTCTTCTGTAAACACTGTTTTGGCATATTTTACGGGGTTAAACTAAAACATCACACCAACATATTGGGATATGTACAGGTTTTATACAGATAGAATCTTAACTAATCCCAATAATTGTTATAAATAAATAGGAGTTAGGGCCTACTATGTAATTTTATTATATTTTATTTATGTTTTTCCAAGACCCCGAAAAACAATTGATTTTGTCCACAGCAAGATGAAGAATTAATTAGAAGACACCGAAAGATTCCCTAAACAACAGATCTAGGGAACGGTTTGACTATTTTGTCTTGTAACATTTTGAGGAATCAGACTGGCTAACAAGTCTATCGTGTATACGTGGGTTCACTATCAGGTATTTCTGAAAATAAGCATTCATGTTGAATCTTCGCACGTAAGAAAATTCGTCCATATGCTCACATAAGTAGATCTACATCTACACTAGATAAAAAACCTCATCTGTCAACCTTCCGTGTTTCGAGATAAGAGACGGTGCTATATAGTTCCATCTGGCAAACACCTACGGGGATCACATCGGGCCTCAGTAAGCAAAATTTTTCATCATGTTATTCATGTTATTCATAACATTTCGGCCACATTCAACTACAATTAAGTATATTATCCTACCTGATACAGGTACAACTCATTTTTTTTTTTTTTTTTTTTTGAAAACGGAATCGATAATAGCCTTACTCTCCGGTATTTTAAATTTGACATCTTTGACGCCATGAAGGCGCTATGTCGTGTAGAACAGCCAATCAAAATATTAAAGCGAAAATTTCATATTTTCTAAGAAAGTCAAAACATAATTATTTCTCTATGTCTTTTGCTCCAAAGTCAACTTACTATACGATCATAGGTATCATTCTCACACTTAAAAAATCATTCATCCGGAAATAATAACACAATTACCTCCCTTGTTTTTCAATCCCCCCCCCCCCCAATTTGAAGTTGGAAATGATATTTTTGCCAATTTCTCAACTGGCAATAGTGAATTATAGGATTAATAGGATTATTCTTTAACAAGGTAGGACTATTTATAGATACCATCTATTATAAGGCTTTATTTTAATAAACTTTAATACACTTTAAAAATATGAAATTATCGTTTTAACCTAATATGCGTTGCGCAGGAATATTACACCATACTTATGAATCTCCGCATCAATCTTGATAAAAAACAACGATTGATTTATTAATCTATTGTCAATATTTGCAAAGTTGTTTCACTACGGTGGGATGCGTATTTTAATAAGTTCTAATAGTATAAAATTAACTTATTTTCAAGATGTTACATGTATTAATAATGAAATTAAGTTTGCCAGGTGAAACTAAAGGCACCCGATCGTGTCTCAACGTTTTTAGCTACGTTCTCGTAGCTAGATCTATAAACATGTGCAAATCTCACCGTGTGAATCGGAATTAAAGTAGCTAAGTCTCTAACCCAATATCATCCCAAATCTTCGACAATGAAAACACGAATTATTTGTCAATTTAAATCAACATTGGTGTTGTGATCTTTGCGGGCAAAACATGGGCTTCTGATATCCAATATTAAAGACAAAATAAACATTTTACGATTGGTACACGAATCGTGTATCATAATGCGTTTCAGCGCAATTTGTAACAAGCAACTCGAAGAACGAGGTTAGACACATTCCACAAGTCATGTCAAACGGTGACCCCATATTCTTATCTGGAGAGCATGCGCAATAAATACTATCGGTGGAAACTCGAATAACCAGACGCTAGAAATTTGCACTCGCTTGAGACTGCTGGCTTATTTCACCGAGCATAACTGATTTGAAATTGGAGTAAAACGGAAACGATTGAATGTAAATCACTTTATTTACATTCATATTACATTATTATATACGTTGCAACCCATTTGTTTCAAATTGTAGGTCCCAAATATTAGCGATTTAGCTCCTTTAAGATCTGATGAATATATGGAAGAAGCTGTGGCCGAGACTAAATGATATCCACAAGTATGGTCTGTATTTATTTTCTATTCCAGATATCGAATATTATCTTCAATAACACGTATAATGTCCATAACCATGGTGATTGTCATGCTGTACAGTTCGGAAAATCAAACCTCATCCGGGAAGCAAGGAGCCATTCCGAAGATGAAGATGACGACCTCAGATCTCAAATTGAAGATCTAAAATATGAAATGAACCGGAGACTTGAAGAAAGAGATGAAATGAAAACTCAACTAAAGGACTTGACTTTGAAGTTGGAGAGACAAGATAAAGAAATGGCCGAATTAAAAGACAGGGTTGCTCACGTTGAAAGATGGAAGAGGGGAGTAGAACATTTAGAAGTTAAGAAAACTAATAGAAATTATAACAGAAAGGAAAGTAATGAGATTACTCTTCTGATAACACGATCCGAGAGGTAAGTAAATATTAATGATAGTTTTGAATGGTTTTATCCTTTAACATAATTATCAAATGGCGTGGTTTCGATTCCCCCGTTGTTGCAATAACACGCGCGAGTGTACTGTGGGTCAGGGACCGAGGATGGCGTTATCGCCGCCATCTTGGAATTGTGACGCTATATCACAATCGATGCGCAATAGACAAGGAATAAACATGCCAGGTTTCATGTGGACCATACTTGAATTGATGGAACATTAGAGAGAGGGACCAGTTCATATCGGGACTAACATATAGTTCAATTTTATTTAAATAATTCGCTTGTGCGAGGGGTCTTTAACTGTGGGAGGAACACGGAGGACCCTACTCCTTGTCACGTAGAGATCTTTAGCTGTGGGATGAAAACGGAGGACACCGAGAAAGCCTACGAGGTTGGACAGGCGAGTTCACTCCCCTTGTCAAGTACACGCGTGGAATCGAAACCACACCACTTGACCCAATGACAGACCTTATGATCTAACGTACACGTGTTTAAACACTGGGCCACCTACCCCTCCCCACCCAAGCTTAGTACTGTAGAGCTTAGGCTGCAGTCCCTGGTCCAAAACGTTATTTTATCCCGTAGCTAATATTCACAGATGTATAATTCAAGGTACTTGAATATTAAAAAACATTATGCAAGAGCTAAATCTGATTATTGCAAGTCTTAATTTAGGCTTCAGATGTTATAGAAATTATAAATTAGATCTTTATTTAAACAACAAGCCCAAAATCAACTCTGTTGACCCACGGATGGCTCGGCTACAGCTCGGATTTAAATAGGATTTCACTAATTGATTAAATCAGATAAGGGGTAACCTGATGAAAATACGTCAGTTAGATCGAGGCTAAATGATAGAGTGTACTTAGCGAGGCCGCTGTAAAGCATTTCCGTATGCCATTGAAAACTTTACTTGATAATCGAGATATGTAGGTGGAGTTAACGCCTGTCAATCAAACGTTCAGTGAAGGTGAAGACACATTTCGCTACCATTTCTAGGCAAATATTACAACGATGATAACTATGTTCAGAATAAAGTAATTTGACTGAATTTTTCAATATATTCTTCTTTCATCATCTACGTTTGAACTGTTATAGCAAGAATGGCCAACTCTCTATTAAAATCTCCCATAATGTATCTTTAAGCAATCTGATCAAAATACAGATCTATATTTCATTTTGTTTATTAATACTTTCGATGGCTTACACTACATGAAGATCTGAACAGTTGATTAACCAATCAGCATTGATATTACTAGTGGATTACCCACAGTTTCGTGCAAAACACGCCAAAACGCTTGCCGTAACAGACTGTTTTATTGCCCAATAGCTCACATCATTCAGAACACGATAATGATAACAACTCTTCCAGATCCTAGTGTAGTAAAGACAAGTAAAACGAAATTTTGAACTATAAAAACGAAACGAAATAGGTTCTGTGTTTTAACCAGATTGCTGAATAATACACTGGCTAGACTAGACAAGCAATGTGATAGGATTGTTCCTATTGAGTCCTACGATCTGGTACGTGCAGATACGTTCGGATACATTTCGATACGATCAACACAATTGCGACGACCGACCACAATGTATTATGATAAGACCTGATAGGATCACCACAATTACTCCACGATTAAAACAACAATTTTAATCGAAGCGCCAATCGTGATGGGGGGGGGGGGGGTACCTAGCATTAATAATATCCAATACCCGTGTTTCTAGGGGTGACCAAATCAGATTATTTATGAAGAATTTACCTGTATTTACCTGTATTTACAGCTGGCCACGTGACAAGGATACTATAACTGTGAGTAAGAAAGTTGGTGTTAATGATTTAACCAAGTTGATACAAGAAAAGAATGGTGTGGAGATTAATCATATTGTTATAGCGGAAGATAATGGCGGGATGCTCATCTACAGCAGCCGTCTTAACAAGAAGAACGGTGATCGTAGTCTCGAACAACTTGGTGTTGTAGATCAGGACAATGTTTTGTATTGTTGTAAAACAAGGGTCGAGTCTACTACAAAACTGTAAAAAAAAAACCAATGGGTGGGGTGTGTGTGGATGTGGGGGTGGCGGCTAGTGGTCTAGAGTGTGTGCGCTTCGTGCTCGAACTGGTCGGTCACCTCTGACTTCCGGTCGTGGTTTGGATCCCCGGTGTGAGCGTATGTGACTTGGAAACAGCGGCGACTTCTCAATCTCATGGGTTTATTCCCAGTGTTACGCTTTCCAACCACAGGACAGACCCCTGCACCTGCGCTAATACAATAACTTGTCTGCGATATTACCCTCGGTGGAAGCGGACGTTAAACACTAGAAGTCCTATTAATCACTGACAAGAGGGTTTATTGGTCAATAACGTCCAGAGTAGTACATAAGGTGACCGACAAATACAAAATGCATTTTCTACTTACCATATCTAATTTTAAAAGATTTCATAGATTGTGTAGAATATGCATAATCTATAATATATCTTTCCTGGTCGGTCACATTTGGCAAAACTTTGTGCTCTAAATCAACGATGGTTTATTTCCTTGTCCGTACCACTCCCCCCACCCCAACCATTCTACATGTTGCTCAAAATAGTATTGTAAAGAGAGTTTGCATGTAATATTCTAGCCGTAGAGTTTTTATGGTTCTATTTGACTTGTTCTCTGTTATGTGAAGAAGATTATATTTGAAACTAGCTCTTGTGGTTCATCAAGGATGACCATATAGTTTCTCATCAAGGATGACCATACTGCTGTTCTTCAAGGATGACCATATAGTTGTTCATCAAGGATGAACATACTGTTGCTCATCAAGGATGACCATACTGCTGTTCATCAAGGGTGACCATATAGTTGCTCATCAAGGGTGACTATATAGTTTCAATAATAGTAGAAATGGAAGTACGGACTGTATATATCTAGTTGATATTTGTATAATTATTGATCGATTCAATACTCACAATGATATATAATAAAAGATGAAAAGGTGTGGTTCTATTTTCGTTATTCCGAAGAAATGAATTGAAATGAAATGGGGTTTAACGCCCTACTGTTCTGCTTCGAACAGGGCTAATGAAGATGGGCATACGCCATACTGTGTAATATGAGGTAAATTTTGCCCGGGCAGCGGCACTACGGCCTACTCTTATATCGAATTCCAACTGTCAAGAGATCTTTTACGTGCACGCCAATATGTACAATGGATCTCGGTTTTCGTCCAATCCGAACGACTAGACAGCTGTCCCTGTCAAGCCCTCTGTCCTTCATCACTGATAAGGGGAAACAACGCCGGAAAATCTGGACGAACTTTCTCGGCCAATGCAGGGATCGAACAACCGACCTCCAGGCTAGCGAGCCAGCGTCTTACCCACTTAGACACCCCCCCCCCCCCCGCCGTTGTTCAGAAGGGAAAATTCATATGAATAAAGCTGCTACTATATTTAAACGGAGAGAAATGGCGCCACAGCCAAACCATTCTTACTGAGGTAATATCGACAGAAGTTATCCACAAAGATATTCTCCGAAACTAAATCTATAGAAATTCCAGTCTCATCTGTTAGCTTCCTCTTCCTCTCATGTAAAGATTCAGTTAAAGGGCTGACAGTTCTCGTTACAAAATAGATAATGAAACGGGAATATGGTCATTCGGTGTGTGTATGTGTGTGTGTGTGGGATGGGGGTGGGTGGGGTGGCCGAATGGTTAGCATAAGGTCTGCCATTGAGTCAACTGGCGTGGGTTTTCTCCGGGTCCTCCGGTTTCTTCCCTCTGCTGAAGACCCCTGCGGACAATTCTATTATTGAAATGGAATTGAACCATGTGATAGTCCCGAAATAGCCTAGGTTGTGTCGAGTGTACATTAAACCCCATTTCTCTCTCTCTTTCTTAGTCATTCTCAATTCCGCAATGCGTATAAATTGTTGTTCTTAGCGTTTAACGTCCGCTTCCACCGAAGGTGATATCGCAGACAAGTTCATTTTAATGATCTTAGCGCACGCGCAGGGGTCTTTGCTGTGGGAGGAAACCGGAGTACCCGGAGTAAACCCACGAGGTTGAGAAGGCGTCCCTATCTCCAAGCCACATACGCTCACACCTGGGATCGAAACCACAGCCGCAAGCCAGAGGTGACCGGCCAACTAGAGGTCGAAGCGTGACACTCTAGACCACTAGGCCATCCCAACCCCCCTATGCGTATAAATAGACTTTTTTTCTTTTATAGTATAATATAGACTACATTATCCAGGTACATACACCATAACACGTCATATTGATCCGTCAACATTCAAGCAGACTGTTAGACATTTTATACTATTGATATATTTAGGTTAAACTTGTATAACACCAATGGCTAAATCTATTTGTTAAGGCCAGCCCAATTTTTGTCAAGGTTGCTGAAATGTAAATAAGGTTAGGGCACGTGATTGTTGGCGAGATTGTAGGTTAGGGTTAGGGTAAGCATTGGGGTTAGGTCCAGGTTTAGGGTTAGGGTTGAGAATAGCGCTAGCCCTGTTTACATTTCGTGACCTTTGACGAAAAATTGAGCTGGCCTTATCATTTAGCACTACCAGGAGAGCATTATAATCAGACTGTTACAACACCTTTTTTTCCTATTTATAGAAGTTAAACTTGTATAACACTAGGAAAATATTATAATCGTGTCCGCAGGTAAAGTTTAGATTGTGTCCATGATTGTAGAGATGTTATAATTATTTTCTAATTGATGTAGCTCAACGTCATTAGTAGTGTGACACGTTATACGAGTCTATTACACGTCATTTAAACGCTATAAATAGACAAGGTTTTTCCGATTGGTAGTTTTTTTTATAGAACCCCCTCGAATCCCGGATTGTCCAGTTTTGTCTATTGTTATTCCAGTCTAAAAGGATCTGTCGTAGGAGGAAATTGTGTACTAGACTAATAAACAATGTCTACTCCAGTAAGTACAACTACGTCATGTTTTATAATAACACTAGATATTGGTTAGATTTTATCATCTAGAGGGCTGAAGGGGTCGTTGTTGGTTATTATAATTGAAATGGGGTTTACGTCCTACTGTTTTGCTCCGAACTGGGCTAATGAAGACGGGCATACGCCATACAGTGTGCTATGAGGGAAATTTTGCCCGAACAGCGGCGCTACGGCCTACTCTTATATATAATTCCAACTGCTAATGGATCTTTAAGAATTCAAATTTAGACAAAAACTGTTTGAAAAATTATAGACCCGTGAGTATCGAAGTTGCTTGAAAAGTGTGTGTTGGTCCAGTTGAATCAACACATTAAATGATAACAGGCTAGATAATCCACTCCAAATTGCATATAAACCATCGCACAGCACAGAAACAGCCATCATTAAATTTGTCAATGATGTATATGAAGAGATTGACAAACAAAAAGCTGTTTTGCTATAATTGTTTGACTTATCGGCCGCTTTGGATACTGCAGACTTGGTGGACACACTTTGGGGAGAAATTGGGTTAAAGGAATGTGCTTTTAATTGGTTTAAGTCGTACTTAGCTGACAGAAAACAAAAAAAAGAACTCATAAATGGTGAATACTCAGAGAACAGAACCCTTCTTTGTGGGGTTCCTCGAAGCTCTGTTCTGGGTCCTGTTCTTTTTATCATTTTAGAAAACCACTGAACAAAATAGCATTAAAATATGGACTTATGATCCACCTATTTGCGGACGATACTCAACTGTATATTATTTTCACGCCTGCCACACACGACTCAATATTAATTAATATTGAAAACTGTCTTGATGAAGTTCATACCTGGATGACATTTCACTTCCTGAAACTAAACCCAGGGATCAGGGACTGTACTCTTTCCATTGCGGGCGAAACTATCACACCATCACCTAAAGTCAAGAACATTGGAGTTATCCTAGATAAACACTTGTCTTTTCAACATCATATATCAGCTGCAACACCATCCGCATTCTTTAAAATACATCAACTGGGTAAATTTAAACAGTACCTATCTACCGATAACCTGAAGCTACTCGTGCAATCCCTAGTCATGTCTAAACTCGACTACCACAACGTCGTCCTTTATGGCGTTGCAGACTACCACCTACAAAAGCTTCAACATGTTCAGAATGCCGAAGCACGGTTGATCAAATGCACCAGGAAAAGAGAACATATTTAGCCCCAGTATTGCGCGAACTTCGCCGGCTTCCCATTAAATCTCGAATTAACTATAAAATATTAATATTCAAATCAATAAATGGCATCGCTCCAGATTACATATTCGATCTAATGTCCAACCACAACAATCTCGAACTTTGTTATCAAATGACAAAAAAACTCCTTGTCGTGCCAAAAGTGAATCTCCAAATGTGTAGACGTTCTTTTAGATATGCTTCATCTGTATTATGGAACTCGATCGATCCTAATCACCCCCTTAAAAACTCAAAATCAACTGACATTTTCAAACGTAGACTAAAAACATATCTGTTCCAGTTACACTTTGGAACCGAAGATCCATCATAAACTTTGCAAGCGCACCAGGGACCTTGTTACTTTGATGTTTGTGCGCGATATAAAATTCCGTATTATTATTATTATTATAATTATAATTGTAATAAATTTATATTCCAGGTTTCAAATATTACCTACAATAACACGTATAACCTCGGTGATTGTCATGCTGTACAGTTTGGAAAATCCAACCACATCCGCATCCAGGAAAACAAGGCTACCCATCCTGAAATTGATCACTTAAGATTTGAAATGAACCGGATAATTGAAGAGAATAGTGAAATTAAAGCCCAACTAGAAGACCTGACCTGTCAGATGGAACGAAAAGATGAAGATATTGTAGACTTAAGATTAAAAAACTACTCGAGAATTGGGGAGAATGTTGAAGCGAAAGCCCAGCTAGAAGACCTGGCCTGTAAGATGGAAAGAAAAGATGAAGAAATTGCAGAACTTAAAGACAAGGTCGCTGATCTGAAAAGAAAATCTGGATCGATATTCTTTGCCCAAAATAACAATGAGGTCTACAATGATTATATTTCGTTCGCATGTGCTGTAATTACACTGTTTCTGCTAGGTTCTGAGTACTTGAGGTTCACATGGAGATCAGATTCAAGTCAGTGCAGCATCGAAAACATCTCGAAGGTTCCTTATGTTTTGACAACAAAATGCATTTTACAAATTCTAGAGGAACTTGTGGATCGCGCAATAAGGCATGTGACAGGCAAATGATTAGGTGTACCCTCGAAAGAAGGGAGACTCATCTGCGTGGAAACTCATACTTTAAAGGGCTGGGAACTATTATGACGTGTATGGTTAATAACTATTATTCCGCAGAAAGAAACGTGGGTTTTAAGGTTAATAAAATATGAATTAACATTTAATATGCTAAATCATATATGAACTATTAGGCTGTGTACTTTTTACGTTTGACATGCAAATTTATACTGATAACTGGGTAGTTTACTTCACGCTATGGTTTTTTATTTGTTGCTATTCTTGTTCTATATATATATATATACTATATATAGTATTAAATTCTAATATTGTTACATTGTGGGATTGTTGATCGATGGGTATATCTCTATTAAGTTGTAACATCTTAGGAAGTGACTATATATTATTGTTATTACAGCCTCGTTCTAATTATTTTATTTGATATAAATCACTGACATATCATTTAGCATGCTGACTGACTGTAAAGTTGTGATATGGCGAAACTTTAATTATGTTGGTCTTATTAAGTTGTGATATTGCGAAACACTATAAATGTTAGTCTTTAATCTTTTGCATTATCACATCTTAGGTACTGATTAATTTTTATCTTTTATTATTACTACTAAGTACCAATTATCTATTATTATTTGTCTTATTATTTTCATTATGGTTGATAGTTACTTGTTAAGTGATGGATAATGGCCGAAGACTGCCATTATGTAAATAGAAAGAACAAATTAGAGGCGTTAGCCCCGAAGTTTTTCTTTGTATTTACATAATGGACAGTCTGAGGCTATTATCAAACTTAAAACATAGCACCATAGAGATACAAATAATGGATAGTTTTATAAAACAACAAGCAATAAAATAATGGATATATTCTTAAAACAACATGCACATGCACATGCTCATGAATGCATGTGACAAAACACTCCAGTCATACAATGGAAGCATACTCCGACAGTCCAAAATATTCGACATGGAAACGATATGTTTATAACACAGTCGAAAACAAATATTAATAATGAGAATATATGTCATAAGCATTTGGATACTGATTACATTGGTAATGTACTCGATATGGAAGATAATAGTCGTAAAAATTGTGATGTTTTGGACTAATAATTGTGGCCTCTAGTATGTACAGTCATGGGCCATATTCCATGAAGTTACGGTCCCATACAAGCTAATATCGAAAGGAACCGACATTTTTGGGATATATACCTATATTTCAAGTTATGACCTGCACAGTGTCCACAAAGAAGGTGTGAAAATGTGGGCGTATAAAAACGTATCATCGATCTAGTGCCGAACGTACTATTAAACAGACATGTGACATAAGGGACGGATTTAAGTGGAATTCTTTATGTAGACAAACACGTGAAATCAACATTCGGTCATGTGACATTTCGGTAACTATGAGGTTTTAAGTAATTTCATGTTCTGTAATTTAATTTGCTCAGAGAATAAATTATCCCAAAATACATGTTCATTTTTCAGATAAGTGTCTATTATTGGTAAACCTGGGCAGTTTTATAATTAATAGACGATTGTTTAAGAAAAGCGTACATTCTCCTATTTACTGGTTAAAAACATCAAAGGGTGATGTCATATCTATGTTTTAATATCTTTTATTATGGTCATGGTTTCTTTTTGTTATTAATTAATTTGGTGTAAGCTAAAATATGTATAAATAGGCGGACTAAATGGATATTTAACTTAAAAAAGTGACCTGTATGTTTTACGAAACGTTGTTATTAAATAATAGAGAAGTAGTTATATTCATAAATACCTTGTGTTGTGTTTTGTTATGAATAATAAAATATGGTTGCGGTTTTGTCTTTCTTTATTACGCCACGATCTTCAGTTTTGGATAAGGAATTGTCGACTAGGGGATAGATGCACTGTCCTATTGGAACCCATGTTAAAATATAGGAAAACTTCCATGATCTGAGATTAGGGAAACACTAGAGTGACACAAGTGTTGGATTCACTTAACTTGAGTAATTAAAAGCCAAGATAATGTCGAATTTGGTTGAGGTCAAAACAGTGAGTCAGTGTTAAGTTAGAGGTAAAATAAAAAGTGAAGCAAAAAAAAAAAAAAAAAAAAAATTCATCCACTTTAATAATATAATTATGGAAAATGAACACGAGTTTCAATTTTAAAATTTAATGTATTTTCCAAACCTTTTTGCTAACTTGTGTATCACTTTAAGGGGCATGGGCTAATTCTTTTACTGACACAAACTTCTTGTTCTGACCTCACCCAATGTATCCCTTTGTACAGTTATTGTGTTCACATGGTTACCCAATCCCCTACAAAGACCGAGATATGACGAAGGAATCAATATTTGGGATAGGTCTTGTTATCCTACCTGTCTGTGAACGGTCTGTCTTGAACCTACCAACGAGTTCTGTTCTGGGTAGCATTTATATTTAGTATACTGAAAAAAAAATGTCTGGAGGGACACAAAAATAAAATGAAATGGGGTTTAACGTCTTACTGTTCTCCAGAAAATGGATCCCCATTAGACCATTAAGCGACAGACACACTGTGCGAATTTGTACCCCGATCATCCGGCCGAAAGACTCGACACCGAATTGCAGCCCATTTCATTCGGCCGATGTGTCCCATCACAATTCACGTCCCCTCGATTAAATATGGCAACGACTAAGAAAAAGAAAAAACTGCAGCGGTGGATTTTTTTAATTTTCCGCCGTATGCGTCAATATAGAAAAGGGTAAGAGAATAGGAGTGACGACTTTCTCTCGACAGCAGTGACTGGCTAATGCATTGCATTCTAGAAATGAGTGATGTCTTCGGCGAACCAGACACATATAAACCCGGCGAATGAATGTCACGCTTCGATCTCTAGCTGGCTGGTCACCTCTGGCTTGCGGTTGTGCTTTTGATCCATGGTGTAAGCGTATTTAGCTTGGAGATGGGGGCACCTTCTCAACCTCGTGGGTTTACTCCGGCCACCCCGATTTCCTCCCACAGGAAAGACCTCTGCGCGTGGGCCAAGATAGTTAAAAGAAAATTATCACCTTCGGTGGAGTCGGACGTTAGAGACTAAGAAAAACAACAAATTCGGCCGAATACAAATTCGGCATCGTGACTCTGGACATACTAGGCGAATTTCGGCGGCGATTGATACGGCGGAATGATTCACATATTGTGTCCCCCGCTTAAGACAAGATATTCCAACAACCCATTGAGCCATAAGACCAGATAGGTCTTCAACCCATTCAGCTATCAGACCAGATAGGTCTACAACCCAATGGGCCATCAGAGTGTATTTCTTTGGTTGCGGTAATCTATTTGATTGTAAAAGGTGCTCGATGTAGATTTCCACGTCGACTTTCCAAAACGTATAACCTTAACCAATGCGATCGCCTTTGGTCCTTGAGAAATGAAATGAAACGGGGCTAATATAAAAAACATCAACAAAAATGAAATGAAATGGGGTTCAACGTCCTACTGTTCTGCTCCGAACTGGGCAAATGAAGACGGGCATACGCCATACAGTGTACTACGAGGGACATTTTACCCGGACAGCGACACTACGGTCTACTCTTATATCGAATTTCAACTGTCAAGGGATCTTTTACGTGCACGCCAATTTGACACGAGAACTCTATTTTTTGTCCCATCCAAACGACTAGACATCACTGACAAGGGGGAACCACGCCGGAAAATATGGATGCACTATCTCGGCCAATGCAGGGATGGAACACCCGACCGCCAATAGCGAGCGAGCCAGCGTCTTACCCACTTAGCCACGTGACTCCCCCCCCCCCCCCGATAAGAGAGAGAGAGAGAGAGAGAGAGAAATGGAGTTTAACGTCCACTCGACACAAACTAGGTCATTTCGGGACTAACATATGGTTTAATTTTATTTCAATAATTCGCTTGCGCGTAGGGGTCTTTAGCAGTGGGAGGAAACCGGAGGACCCGGAGAAAACCCACGAGGTTGGACAGACGACCCTACTCCTTGTCACGTACAACCGCGGATTCGAAACCACGCCAGTTGACTCAATGACAGACTTTATGATACAGCACGCACACACTAACCATTCAGCCATCCCCCACTCCTTGATAAGACAGTGACGATACGTCCAAAAATAAACGAAGGTTAGAATTGTGGTATATTTTATTTTTTCATTATTATTCTCTCATCAAATTCAAATAATATTTTAAAAATACAAAAACTAATCCCTGATATATCACAGAAGTAGAAATTACGAGGTAGATAGATATCAGATATTTTACTTATAGTTTAGATTTTAAAATGTTGACATTCTTTTGTTTTTTCTCGGCATATATTCCAACAAAATCCAGAAAATCGTCTAATTTCTTCACATATTCTTTATGGTGATGACTTAAATGTGACGCATGGGCTGATTTACTCCAGATTTTAGAAGTTACGTCAAACGTCATTTTCTGCCAGGATGTCAACATGGCATTCAGTGCATCCGGGTCACTCATTGGATCATTCAAACAGGCGAAGAATAAGGTAGGAACATGTAGAGGCGACTCTTTAAAGAATTCTACTGATTTTTCATGTCGATCCATTATGCATTTCTTGGTTACAAATAAAAACGTGTTCAATAAATGTCTAAAAATGATTTGTTTTAGTTTGTTACTGGAAGATCCTGTTGTCATTCCATTCACCATTTGTTTTACAGAACCTATCGTCAGACTGTCGTAAATTATACCAATAGTTTTTATCGTTATATTATCATACTGCCCCGGATACCGGGACGCTAACTGTAAACAATTGGTGAAATTGTAAGCACCGATAGAAAACGCGTGTACAATATAATATTTATACCTCGAACATTTCGTTTCCAAATATTCATTTATCTCTTTCGCTAATACAACAGAATTCGGTGGCCAAACAAACTGTGGCAATTTCCCTTCTATAAATAAAACATCAATCCCACGTTCATGATATAAATTTCGATATTTTTCAACAGAGCTACTTTTGGCGCCAAACCAACCAAAGATTATTATAAGACAGGCATCCGAAAAGATCTTGGTGTCGTCTGCTTGTTCTGTTTTTGGCTTTCTGCAGCTGAAGTGAAACAAACAATTTGATTCCTGTTGACAACTTATCGGCGTCTGATCACTTTCATCGTTGTTTTGTGTAATATCCGCCATTTTTTTTTTGTCATGGAAACCTGAAATAAATGAAAACGGTGCCGTAAACGGAGATTTTAATCGGCTTTGTTTTACAATACCTATTCATTATGTCTGAGATTCAACCGTCTTTGGTCTGTCATTGAGTCAACTGGCGTGGGTTTGATTCCCCAGTTATACGTGACAAGTAGTAGGGTCGTTTGTCCAACCTCGTGGGTTTTCTCCGGGTCCCTCCCACTATAAAGACCCCCTACGCGCAAGCGAAATATTGTTGGTCCCGAAATGACCTCCTTTGTGTTGAGTGGACGTTACCCCCCCCCCTCTCTCAACCGTCTTTGGTTGGTCCTACAGACATCAGTATGTTGGGCCAATTTGAAAGTCATTTTAGAATCGCCATTCCTCGGAATACAAAGTTGAATTCATTGCACCTGACCCACGAGAAAATGCGAATGTTTGCCCCTTTCCTTTCCGTAAGTAAGTTAAAATGGACGGATGGGTTGTTGTTCTTAGTGTTTAACGACCGTTTCCACCGAGGTTGATATTGCAGATACATTGTCTTATTTTCATTTTTATTATCTTAGCGTACGCCAAGGAAGGAAACCGGAGTCCGGACTAAACACACGAGATTGAAAAGACGTCCCGCTGTCTCCTTAGTCACATAGGGCGTACTCGATTGAACGTTCCGGAATTGAATTCTCTCAAATAGTGACAAACGAGTGAAAATGGGTACTTCGGGCTACAACGCATGCGTCGACTGGATATATAAATATCTCATCCAACCATGCAGCCGAAACCCGTTCGTCGTGTTTAATTACGTCACAATTCTAATCAAACCACCTTCGTCGTCGGGACTGACAGAACTGTGACAGGACTGAATTCCGCGTCACTCGATTGCAATTCTGTCAATTCGGGACATTCCGGACTGTGAATCGAGCCTCCCCATAGGCTTACACCAGGGATCAAAACAACGACCGCAAGCCAGGGGTAACCAGCCAGCTAGAGCTCGAAGGGTGACACGGATGGGAAAGATTTGATTATTTTAAACTTTGAAATCAACAGGGGAAGATTTGATTATTTTAAACTTTGAAATCAACACGGGATATCAACTGTGGTCTCTATCCTACTTGATAAAAGGGGGATAATCGTTAAATAGAGTTGCCTCCCTTTAGTGAACAGAGGAACACAACGAGCAATTACTACATCAACTCAAATCTTATAAATAGATTCTAACCAGTTATGTTAAACATCTGTCGTTATATTAAACGAGATTATACGTACCTCTATGCCAAGAAGAACCTACATATAATCACCGTCACTCAGAGCAAGTAAAACTTCACTGATAATTGTGACACTGTGCAACCCGATATCGCGATATGAACATGAACTTTGACCATGGCAAACTCAATATTATGGATCACCGACATTCAGTCCACGAAACGAAATATGTAATATATTTTACAAAATATTAATATTTCCGATCAGTTTTATTTGTCAAATTTCTAGGGCCTTATTTATGCAATCTGTTTTAGATATACAATATTCTTCTAAATTTCGTTTCGTGTGTTATACTTTGAAGAGCTCAGACCACAAAAAGCGTATTGTCTACTGCAGTAGACCCCCCCCCCCCCCCCATATAGCCTACTGATTAATTTTCTCACTTACGAATAGTTTAAATATATATCCAACTGCGCAATGTTAAGCCACTTGCGCAATGTTAACCCACTACGATAAAGTGGCTATACTAATAGTAAGTGCAGGAGGACCACACTACACACAAACCTGCGGACAAGACAGAATATAGACATTGCCTTCCACCGTTTTAAATCAAAAGGTCGCCCATTGAGCCAAGTGGCGTGATTTCAATTCCCCGATTGTACGTGACAAGGAATAGGGTCGCATGTCGAACTTCGTGGGTTTTCCACGGGTCCCTCCACTGCTAAAGACCCCACCCACCCCACCCCTTACACGCAAGCTAATTATTGAATGAAATAAAATTGAACCATGTTAGTTCCGAAACGACCTAGTTTGTTTCGAGTGGACGTTACCCCCCCCCCCCCCCTCTCTCTCCCTCTCTCCCCCTCTCTCCCCTGATAACAGTCACTGATGGGTACCATATGGGTACCATGTGTCATGTAATATGGGGCCATTATGGGGAGCCCATATGGGACCCCAACATTTTTGCATCCAACATTCATATGGGATCCATATGGGCAACCATATGGGTACTAAATGAGGTTTGTGTGGGATCTATATGGGTAAGTCATTTAAAATAATATGGGTGTTATATGGGGCTTACATGGGACCTCTATAGCAATGTTAAGAAATGTAATATGGGTACTATATGGGACTCATGTGGGGTGCAAATAAATGTAATATGGGGCTTGCATGGGACCCATAAGGCCATGTTAAGAAATGTAATATGGCTACTATATGGGACTCACGTGGGGTGCAAATAAATGTAATATGGGCATAATATGGGACTCATATGGGATCTTGTACCAAATAAGTACAAAACTATTTATATTTGGTTTCATGTTTTATTATTATGCTTTCTCAATTAGGACGGTTGAAATTCGTTGAGATCTCCCACCATCGCGTCCCTTAAATTTGTCAGGAAACCAGTTCAAACGACTAACTGCAGCTTTGATTTCCTTGTTTGTGGTATTTCAAAACATTAGATTTCTTCTGACTGGATCTGTAATTCAAAAGGAAAGCACATTAGGTCTGTTGATGTGCAACCTGACAAAGCAACACAACTCTTTCCATATGATCTCCCCTTAGACCCCAAAACACATACAATTCAAATCTAAAAAGACTGATGAACGATTGTAAAAACATTAAAATAAACCCCATCGTACCAGAACTATTATTGATTTGCATTTATTTCCAACAATGACGTATCATCAATATTACTTACTAAAAACAATGGTAGCTGTAGCATGTGCCCCTATAATTCACGCTTTCCTTTTTATCCTGTCCAATTGTAACGGCGTTGTACATAAGTGACACTGAGATTCTTCATAATGTTGTTAACGATGGACAGGACATCTCTGCCACCTAATCGTCCAAGTCGGTTTATCTTAAACAGAACGAAAAAACGAAAAAATAAGTAAGTGCACTATTTATTACCTGCAAAATATCACATATCGAATGAAACTATTCTTCCATAAATTCACATTTATTTTAATGCGAGTTGTCACGTCTTAAAACATGCACACCCAAGCAGCTTCATCATCCTGATCATTAATATAAATGGTTACAGTTTTTTTGTGAAAAAAGGGCACCAGACAAAAGCATATATCTGTCAGTGTTGTTCTAACATACCTATATCAACAAATTTGACTCGTAACTTTTTTGTTTTGGAGGGGGGGGGGGGGGCATAAGATAGAGTCCATATATATGACTGTCGTTTGTTTGTCATTCTTTTCAAGGTTGGCAGTTACACCAAGGCTGTCACCGAGGCTGAATATTTTGTGTATAGGGAAGGAGTGGCACCAAGCTAGAGTTTTACCAAATTCAGTTATAATGTCCTTTGTATGTATTTCGTTGTATAGCTGATAAAACTTTCCGACGTTTTGTCAAGCGAGAGCAAGAAACATATTTTACCATGACACACATTAATGCGTGTTATATAAGTTGAACATGTAATTAGTCACCTTTCTTGAAATGACATCTTTCTTGTTTCAGAGTTTGCCAATATTTTCGAAATAACTGAGAAAAAGAAACATCCATTCAAATCCATCCTCATATTATTACAAAACCTTTATATAAGTACTTTGATGCAATAAACATATATATTCTTCCTGTGCCAACGCCAATAGGGGGGGGGGGGTGGATGGCCGAATAGTTAGCACATGCGCGCTGTATCATAAAGCCTGTCATTGAGTCAACTGGCGTGATTTCGAATCCCCGGTTGTACGTGACAAGGAGTAGGGTCGCCTGTCCAACCTCGTGGGTTTTCTCCGGGTCCTCCGGTTTCCTCCCACTGCTAAAGACCCCTACGCGCAAGCGAATTATTGAAATAAAATTAAACCATATGTTAGTCCCGAAATGACCTAGTTTGTGTCGAGTGAACGTTAAACCCCATTTATCTCTCTCTGCAACACCAATAGCAAGGGTAAACCAGACTGGAAGATCGAGTAGAACTTTCCCAGCCACACATGAATCGACTGGAGCATCCATTCATAAATGGGGATCACGTGGCTAAGTGGGTAAGACGCTAGCTCGCTAGCCTGGAGGTCGGGTGTTCGATCCCTGCATTGGCCGAGAAAGTTCATCCAGATTTTCCGGCGTGGTTCTCCCTTGTCAGTGATGCAGGACGGAGGGGCTGACAAGGAAAGCTGTCTAGTCGTTCGGATGGGACGAAAAACCGAGGTCCCGTGTACACATTGGCGTGCACGTAAAAGATCCCTTGGCAGTTGGAATTCGATATAAGAGTAGGCCGTAGTGCCGCTGTCCGGGCAAAATTTCCCTCATAGCACACTGTATGGCGTATGCCCGTCTTCATTAGCCCAGGTTAGGAGCAGAACAGTAGGACGTTAAACTCCATTTCATTTCATTTCATTTCCATTCATAAATAACAGCATTCGCTCCCATTTGGCCTTGAATTAAGGAAGTACATTTCAAATGGTTTAATCAATGGAAACTATCCTATGATTAATTAATTCAGTTGTCTGTTGGTCTAATCAACACGAAGACGCCCGTCATTAATCTTATATCAACAACATTCTTGTATTGACCTATTTATAAATTGGATCACTGATTGGTTAGTCGTTCGGATGGGACAAAAAAACGAGGGCCCTTGTACATATTGGCGGGCACATACAAGATCCCTTGACAGTTGGAATTCGACATTGTAGACGTTTTTACTATAACCAAACCGTTTACAACGTTAGTCGTTCGGATGGGAGGGGGGGGGGGAGGGGGTATGGCCGAATGGTTAACGTGTGCGCATTTGACCATAAGGTCTGTCATTGAGTGAAGTATGGTCTCCTGTTCAAACTTCATGGGCTTTGTTCGCGTTCTGCGTTTTCCTTCCACTGCTAAAGACCCCTACGCACTAGCGAATTATTGAAATAAACTTGATCCATATGTTAGTTCCGAATTGACCTAGTTTGTGTCGAGTGGGAGTTACACCCATCTCTCTCTCTCTCTCTCTCTCTCTCTCTCTCTCTCTCTGCCCCCCCCCCCTCTAACCCGATTCGTTATAAGACGCGAGACTAATATTATGTATTATTGTAATGTATGGGTTATCCAGATGAAAACTAGATAAAGACGTAACCCTAGATTAAGCCCAGATAAAGACGTAAGTTCAACCGAGATAAACTACAGATTGTTCCAACCCACTTTTTTTTTCTTATTTCATAAATTATCTGTACAATAATCACAGATTTCTACCGTTCATAGAATTCTTATATTTAAACTGAACTAAGATTAAATTCTCCACATATTTTACTGGACTGATTCATAATTCTTATAGATGAGTAAATATTTTACACAATCGCTATTATTATGGTGGCTCACAGTGGTCATGCTACAGTATCGCTATTATTATGGTGGCTCACAGTGGCCATGCTACAATATCGCTATTATTACGGTGGCTCACAGTGGTCATGCTACGTTATCGCTATTATTATGGTGGCTCACAGTGGTCATGCTACTGTATCGCTATTGTTACGGTGCCTCACAGTGGTCATGCTACAGTATCGCTATTATTATGGTGGCCCACAGTGGTCATGCTACGATATCGCTATTATTACGGTGGCTCACAGTGGTCATGCTACAATATCGCTATTATTACGGTGCCTCACAGTGGTCATGCAACGGTATCGCAATTATTACGGTGACTCACAGTGGTCATACTAGAATATATCGCTATTATTACGGTGGCTCACAGTGGTCATGGCACAGTACAGTATCGCTATTATTATGGTGGCTCACAGTAGCCATGCTACTGTATCGCTATTATGATGGTGGCTCACAGTAGCCATGCTACTGTATCGCTATTATTACGGTGGCTCACAGTGGTCATGCTACAGAATCGCTATTATTACGGTGCCCCACAGTGGTCATGCTACGGTATCGCTATTATTACAGTGTCTCACAGTGGTCATGCTACCATATCGCTATTATTATGGTGCCTCTCGGTGATCATGCTACTGTATCGTCATTGTCAAATCGTTCGAATGGGGCGAAAAACACATGTCCCATGTGTATGTTGCCGTGTACAAATATTCTTGACAGTTGAAAATCGATATACGTGTAGGCCGTAGTGCCACTACCCGGGAAAAATTTCCCTAAGGTGATGTGCCCGTCTTCATTAAACCAATCGATGAAGAAAAGTAGGACGATTCACATCCATTTCATACGACAGCAATTACACGATAAAATCCTAAGTTTCCTTTGTTGTCGGTTTATACATTTCGTCTTTCTTGTAGTCATTGGCATTGCTAGTTTGTCAGGGGGTCACGGTGGCTAAGTGGGTAAGACGCTAGATCGCTAGTCTGGAGATCGGGTGTTCGATCTCTGCATTGGCCGAGAAAGTTTATCCAGATTTTCCGGCGTGGTTCCCCCTTGTCAGTGATGCAGGGCGGAGGGCCTGACAAGGATAGCTGTCTAGTCCTTCGGATGGGACGAAAAACCGAGGTCCCGTGTACACCTTGGCATGCACGTAAAGATCCCTTGACAGTTGGAATTTGATATAAGAGTAGCCCGTAGGGCCGCTGTCAGGGCAAAATTTCCCTCATGGCACACTGTATGGCGTATGCACGTCTTCATTAGCCCATTTTACTAGTTTTACTAGGGTATCTTTACCCACCCGGGTCTGTAATAGACAGTGGCCCCGCAGATGCATTCGCTTGATTTGATATTGGAGAAGTTCTGTTTTCTGGGGTTGTAGCTTATTCCAACACTAACGACAATAACTCTGAAAAAAATAATTAAAATCGCACTTTTGATAAACGAGAGTCCACAACTAGCTAACGGTCACAATAACGAGATAGGCAGGTATCGCTAGGGCGAGCCGGTCACCAGACTAAAGTTACAGTAGAATATGGAACATATATACAAGCTTAGGATTAAAATAATTATATAATAATATTTGATCAGAAATGTTAAATTGTACATAGGAAACAGATGTTTAAATACAGAAGAAGATATTTATATAGCGATAATATTATATCGTTACATTAAGTTAAAACCCAAACAGTTAAAAGACATGAAAGATTAGTAAGATAGCAATTCAGACATTGGTCAATTACTACTTTAACTAAAATTAAATAGTAATAAAATGTATACAAATATACACTATAACAATATGTTGTTTGTTGTTTCTTGTTTCCAATGTCTGTACATATTGTCTGTCTTGTCCGCGGGATCATCATTACTGAAGTCCGTACGATAGTCTCGATTATCCATTTTTCTTTATTTAATCAGAAGCAGTAGATCGGGTTCTAATCCAGTAAATATCACAGGCTAGCGATGCCATTGAGGGTTGATTATGGTCTGGATAAGTTAACTAATGTCTAATTAATTATTTAGAAACCATTTCAGGCCCAAAGAAAGGCCTGCAATGGACAGATTTAGCTCTTGCATAATGTATGTTTAACTTAAAGAAAACCTTTGAATGTGGAACTAGATATATTATGACACCAGTAGGTGAGCTACTGTGAAATATCGACAACATGCTAAGAAATCAATGATTCCCACATTGTTACGAATGGTTCGTTGATTAATTTGGTTTTTATGTCGAATGGGATGTACAGGAAGTCAGGGTTCTAGTGATACTGTGGCTTTTATTATATGCTCATCGTGTTCAACATGCATGAAAGATTGCGTTTGCCAACTGAATAACAAAAATAAATTGGACTGTCATTTTTTTTTGTGTCGATGAACAAAATTGTTGTCATACAATGCAGAAATCAATTCAAGTTCTTAGCACAACTGACATTTTTTTTCCATTTTAATTCGACAGCTTGGGATAATTATTAAATATTTAGTATGATTAAATACAAACCTTTTTGGGCTTCCCCATTTTTTGTTTTGGTTTTAATATCAACATTACAATATACTATAGGATTCATGTCGTATAGCTAAGTGGGTAAGACGCTAGCTCGCTAGCCTGGAGGTCGGGTGTTCGATCCCTGAATTGGCCGAGAAAGTTAATCCAGATTTTCCGGCGTGGTTCTCCCTTGTCAGTGATGCAGGACGGAGGGACTGACAAGGAAAGCTGTCTAGTCGTTCGGATAGGACGAAAAACCGAGGTCCCGTGTACACATTGGCGTGCACGTAAAAGATCCCTTGGCAGTTGGAATTCGATATAAGAGTAGGCCGTAGTGCCGCTGTCCGGGCAAAATTTCCCTCATAGCACACTGTATGGCGTATGCCTGTCTTCATTAGCCCAGGTTAGGAGCAGAACAGTAGGACGTTAAACCCCATTTCATTTCATTTCATTTCATGTCGTATAACGTTTATAGATCCATGCACTACTGATACAGTTCGTTTTTTATATATACTCTTAAAAAAAGTAGGGGATATTGAAATGCAACTACCTATGCAGGTTCTGATATGATAAATAGTCATGGACATTTGACATGCTTTGAGAGTAACAGACCGTTTCACTGGCTAATCAAGCACATCATCCAGAACACGTCAATGATAACAACTCTTCCATGGCCTACACTAGTGTAGTAAAGACAAGTGAAATACAATTTTGAACTATAAAAAAACGAAACGAAATAGGATCTGTGTTTTAATTAGATTGCATAACCTGCAGTAGTTTCGGCGTTCTTGGAATGTTTTGCTTTCGATATGGATCAAACGACCATGATAAAAGCAGCAACGACACAATACAATATAACCAAACATGAAACTTCAATTAGTAACCAAGCCGACTTCCGCAGAGAGACAGAGAGAGAAGGAATGAGAGAGAGAGAGTATTCCGGGAGTAACATACGGTACAATTTATTTCAATAATTGGGTTGTGCGTAGGGTTGTGTAACAGTGGGAGGAAATAGGAGGAACCAGGAGAAAATCAACGGGGTTAGGTAATCGAAACCACACCGGTTTCCTCCCGCTGCCAAAGACCCCTACGCGCAACCGAATTATTGAATGATCTACTTTATGTCGAGTGGACATACCCCCCCCCCTTCTCTCTCCCCCCCCCCCCTCTCTCTCTCTATCTCTCTCTTTCTCGCTCTCTCCCTCGTTACTTATATTTTTACAGTAAAAAGTAGGAGTGTCGTTACAGTCGCTTTGACCCACTACTTGAGATAACCCAGAAACGCCAATAGATAAGTAAAGATATAGTAATACCTCATATTGTGCTGGTAAAACCTGAAGATTAAAGACAACGGTAGAATGAAGAATCGTCTTGTTCTTGTAGCAGTAACGTATTTACTGATAAACTGGACCGCTGCAGGTAAATTATAAACTCTATATAGTCGAAGTATCGGAGCTCTTTCAGCTCTGGTGGATATGTGTAATTTAGGGAAATTCCCATACGTGGAAGAGTCGCGATATTTGGAAAAAAAAATCGGATTGATGTAGGGCGTGACACCCCAATTTCATGGTTAGTGCTAAATGCTAAGGTCAGAGCATCATCCTAGGTCAGTGCTTATGTGGAGACTTAATAATCACGTGCCCTAACCTTATTTATGACGGAAAATTGAGCTGGCCCTAGCGTTTAGCACTAACTCTCATCCTACCCATCGTTTGGTTTTGCATTTCCGATTTCCGTCTCTGAACTATTTAGTTCTATGCCTTAAAGCAGTGGACACATTAGCCGAATCGTTGAAACAATCGGCGCCGAATGGGTGGACACACTAGCCGAATGCTTCGCCCGATTCAACCTGCCGATTGCATCACCTTTCACGTCACATGATTAAACATGGCGGCGTCTATGTCTTCAATCTATCACGTGACTTCTCGATATGAGTGGTGATTGGCTAATGAATTCTATATTCGGCCGAATGCTTCGGCGAAGCGGACACACCAGGCGAATATAATTCGCCCGAATAAATATTCGGCCGAATATATCAAACCTGTTTGATTCGGGCGAATCATTCGGCCGAATGCCAGTGGACACACTAGGCGAATTTCGACGCCGATTGATTCGGCCGAACGATTCGGCCGAATCATTCGGCTCGTGTGTCCACCGCTTAACACAATTAAAACGTGGTGATCGTATGGGCCAATCACCACGTTTTAAATGTGTTAAGGCCATACAATTACCACGTTTTCATTGTGGGCTCCATGCAATTACCGCGTTTTAATTGTGTAAAGATGACGATCAGCCCCATTTCGTTCCCTACCCGCTTTTAAAACAATTTTGTCTTTTAATTCAGCACCAGCAGCAGATTTAGTATGTCATTATAATGGCGCCGATCATGTGGTAGGAGACAGTTTCAAATCTACTGATGGCTGTAACCAATGTGGATGTGGTCGAGGTGGTTTTGTATTCTGTACTGAAATGGCCTGTATTAAGAACTACTGTAGTTATGGCGGTATCAATTATATGGATGGTCAGGGTTTTAAATCAAGTGATGGCTGTAATAGTTGCGGCTGCAGTAATGGAATGGTGGTGTGCACGCAGCGCTTTTGTCAGCGTCTGGATATAAGTTCTTAAAGCTGTGAATATAAAACAGTTTTGTGTGTTCATTTGTTTGTTTATCTAGTAACATCTAGCAACACTTACCTCTACATCCCATGGATTACTATTCTCTATTTTTTTTCTACTTCTAAATTAAACTTCCATAACATTTACAAGAATAATCAGTAATTGCACAAAGATGACCCTTACCATTTTTTTTTGGGGGGGGAGGGGGGAATGGCCGAATGGTTAGCGCGTGCGCGTTGTATCATAAGGTCTGTCATTGGGTCAAATGGCGTGGTTTCGATTTCCCGGTTGTACCTGACAAGGAGTAGGGTCACTTGTCCAGCATCGTGGATTTTCTCCGGGTCCTCCCACTGTTAAAGACCTCAAGAGATTTATTGAAATAAAATTGAACCATGTTAGTCCTGAAATGAACTAGTTTGTGTCGAGTGGACGTAAACCTCTCTCTCTCTCTCTCTCTCTCGCTCTGTATTGAAGACAGATAGTCCACGAAGTAATAAACTTCCAATAAAATAAGATGAGCGGACCAGAACCATACGCCAGCTAACAATTATACGCCGTACAAACTTTACCATTTTATAAATTAACAGGATGCAGACAAGAGCATGTTTTATAAATGAAATCTAACGCTGCGTGCTGTTACAATAACAAAAAAAATATGGAGATAAAAGGCAAAATGAATCGTTCATGTTGTGAAGTGAATTTCAAGAGACCAGTCACCACTAATTATTGTCAGAAACCCATCTTCTTACTCTGCCGTTCTGGAAATCAATAGCTGTCTTCATGCACTCACTGTCTTTTACGCGGGAAAAAATATGATAGTGAAGTCATCTGCACGCAATCTAAGAATTGGAGAAACAGCTGACACTATAAAGAATACACTTAAAGGGTTATTATAGTTAGTTAATTAGGCTTAACGTTCGCTTGCACATCGGGGAAAGACTTGAAAACATTGGTCATTATGTATGCAGATTAGTTAATATACTATTCAAAAAAAGTAGGGGATATTTGATTTTGGGGGCATAATACTAAAATATGCAAATGACTACGAAAAAAGTCACTATAGAACCTAACAGAAGAAACATTTCCAGTTACATGTGACGCCCAAACGCACCAATAGCTACCGCATGGAATGCAGGTGATGCTTGGGATCATCATGGGGGTCCAACCCAAGATTTGCACGACTCTGACTTTGAATGTTACAGTCATTGTGGCATTGAATTCCAGGGTGGAAACATCAGTTTAATTGTTTTAGTGACCAGAAAACAAATTTTGATATGCGTCGGCTTACCCAAAATGAAAGGTTACGTGCCCTTGGCATGCTACAGATCGGCACAACACAGGCGGTTGTGGCGCGGACGATGAATGTTTCTCAGTCTGTCATAAGCAGGCTATGGTCCAGATACCGTGATACACAATCTGTACAGGACAGACCACGCTCAGGTCGACCAAGGGCGACAACTCAAGCCCAGGATCGATTTATCCGTACCTTGGCCTTGAGAAATCGTGTCATCACAGCAAATCAGATCAGCGCTCGTCTTCAAACAGACACTGGTGTGAGAGTGAGTGGCCAGACGATTCGGAATCGACTGCATAGGGGTCACCTTCGCGCCCGACGTCCTCGCGTGATCCCTTGTTTGAGAGATCATCACATTCAGGCAAGACGTCGTTGGTGTAGGGATCGTCAACACTGGGATAATCGACGCTGGAGCAATGTGATGTTTTCAGATGAGTCAAGGTTTACTGTTGATTTTTTGGACAGACGTAGGAGGGTGTGGCGTCGTCGAAACGAGCGCTTCCAAGACGTTAACGTCATCAGACATGATCGATTTGGGGGTGGTTCTGTTATGGTGTGGGGAGGCATCACTGTTGCTGGAAGAACGGCTTTACATGTTGTTGCAGGGCGTGTTACAGGCCAGTACTACCGGGACAACATCTTGGCAGTCCATGTTGTGCCGTTCGCACGACGTCATGGCCGCCGTTTCATCTTCCAGGATGACAACGCAAGATGTCACAGGGCCAGGATCGTTACAGGTTACCTCCAACAACAGAACATCACCACATTACCTTGGCCAGCACTGAGTCCCGACCTCTCCCCCATCGAGCATGTCTGGGACATGCTTGGACAGAGGTTACGTCAACGTCAACAACGTCCTGCCAATGTCCAAGAACTTGCTGCTGCGTTGCAACAGGAATGGGACAATCTGGACCAAAATGACCTTAGACGTCTCATTAGGAGTATGCCACGTCGGATCAATGCTTGTTTGGCAAACAGAGGAGGATTTACCCGTTACTGACTTGGTTGTGATGCTGTGGTAACTTTGCTGTTTGACCCCGGGTATCATTTTACCCTTATAATGGTCAGTCTGTGCCTTACTTAGTCTAACGATCATTTGGAATAAATCGATGAATGTGAACTTCATTTCATTTTGTCATTTGTTTCTTCGTCAGTTTCATTAGGTGACTTTAATAACACTTTTTTGAATAGTATATTTAATTAAAGATCCCCCATCCCTCTCTCTCAGCGTGGGATCCCTGTATTAAAGATACATTATGAGAGATTAGATAAAGAGCTGGCAGTTCTCACTATAATAGTTAAAAACTAGATAATGTAAAGGCAATTTGCTGAAATTTTCGGTCACATTTATCCACTCTGAACCGAGAATTTAGCTATTGAATTTTCGGCCTATCCTCGATCATCATTACTAAAGTCGGTACGATAAAAGAAAACATAGTTTCGGTTATCCATTTCATGATTAAATCATGAATGAAAGTTGAGAAGCATATCGGATCCCTGTCCAGCAAATATCACAGGCTAGCGATCACATCGAAAGTTGATTATGGTCTGGATAAGTTAATTAATGTCTAATTAATAGTTTATACAACATTTCAGGCCTAAAAAATACCTGCAATAGGTAGATTTAGCTCTTGCATAATGTATGTTTAATGCCCGGTTCCCACTGTCGTGCGATGCGTACGATAGATAGAACTGTCGCTATTGAGTCCACGATCTGCTACCTGCAGATACGTTCAGATACGTTTCGATATGGTCAGCACGATTGCTACGACTGACCTCAATATATGATAAGTCCTGATAGGATCACCACGATTAAAACCACGATTTCAATCGAAGCACTTGTTATATTAGACACAGATTCAGTACAACGAATTGAAATGGTATTTAAAGGAGCTAAATCGCTAACATTTGGGACCTACAAACTGACACAAATGGGTCGCAACGCATATAATAATGTAATATGAATGTATATAAACTGATTTACATTCAATCGTTTCGGTGTTTACCCTATTTTCATTTCAGTTATCTTAGGCGAAATATGCCAGAAGTCTCAATCAAATGGCAATCTCTAGTGTCTGGTTATTCCAGTCTACACCGATAGTATTTATTGCCCATACTCACCAGATAAAGAGTCTGGCATCACCGTTTGACATAACTAGTTGAATGTGTCTAGCCTCGTTCTTTGAGTTCCTTGTTACAAATGGCACTTAAACGCGTTATGGTACAAGATTCGTGTACCAATGGTAAAATGTTTATTTTGTCTTAAATATTGGATATTAGGAGCCCATCTTTTTCCGGTAAGATCATACCATCAATCTTGATTTAAATTGACAAATAATTTGTGTTTTTAATGTCGAAGACTTTGGATGATATCGAGTTAGAGACTTAGCTACTTTAAGGTCGAAACTCTCTCGACCAATACTTATGTCTAGGCACAGATAGGGTACAACCGAATGCCGTCCATGACCACAACTTCCTCCGCGTGTATCAGGATCGGGCCACGGTGGCCCCTATTTTTAGACATAAATTTATTTAGTACAATTGGTTCGAAATCCGTTTATGATCGCAACGTTCTGAGCCAATACCATGATCGAGTAATCGCGGCCCAAAATATTAGACAAAGATTTAGTGCAATTGATTAGAAATCCGTCCATGACCGCAACTTGCTCCTCCAATACGAGGATCGAGTAACTGTGGTTCCTATTTGATTTACAATTTGAATACTACACGAGACCCGCACTTGTCATTAAATCTGTACAGATTCTATTTTGTATGACCGATCTCCTCCAAGATTTTATATTAGTCTGTAGATTGTCTGGTATCTGTCAATCATAATAAAACCAAATAAGGTAATAAGACCAAATAAGGCGATAAGGCGATTATACTCTTGAAACGTTCGATATCCCCTTCATCACCATCGCCATACTTGTCTGGGATTCTGCTACTGATTGGAACATTGTCAACCAATCTGACACACAATAACCGCTAATACTTGACTAGCTTGTTAATCAGTTTATGATCCTGTAAACAAACACGGTCAACGAGTGAACCAATTACTCTAATATCCAGGACAAATATTTCATCAACATTTATCATCATGTGTAATAAATAGACAAATATTTACACGGGTTTGTAAAATGCTGTTTTTATAATTTATTTCATAATACGTCCAGGCAGTTTCGTTAGATCTTTTTCTATACACCTCGTAGCCTTATTGATGTTGGTGTTGCTGCATCGACGCTCGTTAAAAACGCCCCATGGTCCGCCAATTCCAGGCATGTTTGTTCTTTGGACGAACATCGATTTCTGTTTCCATGCAAGAAGATTGCGATGACGCCATGGTCGGGCCCATGTGCATGTAGTACGAACACCGATTTATAGTTTGTTATTTACCAAACATCATACGTAGCACCTTGAAGAAGAACCATTCTGATTAAATTACAGATCTTTATTTCGTTTTTTTTATACTTTCGATGGCCTCCACTATATGAAAATCTGACCAGTTGTAATGGGAGGTCGCACCAGGAGTCATACGAGCGGCTTTTGACCCTATGACGTTAGAAAATTGATAAACCAATCAGTGTTGATGTTTCAAGTGGGTATTTGGATTGTCTTCGCTGCGAATGTCTACCTACATTTCCGTGCATCGCACGCCAAAAGCTCCTCACAACAGACAATTTTATTGGCCAATCCCTCACATTAAACATAACTTGGGTAATATATCACTTCGCACAGATCCTAC